TTTAAAAAAAAAAGGTGAAAATTTAGTCCCAATAACAAACATTTTAAAAATTGAATTTTGCTTGTACCAAAAAATAAATAAATAAATAAATAAATTTTGCGATTTAATGATTATTTAATAAAACTAGGTGATAAACTCGTTTATAATTTATATGTAATTTTTTAGGTTATAACTTATAACTTATGACTTATAGTTGAAAAATTAGTTTATATGATAAAAATGTTGGTAAATTTAGCTGATGAACTAGTTGAAATAAAAAAAATTCAACTAAATTATTTGAAAAGCTAGTTAAACAAGCCTATGAGATAGGCTTGAGCTTTTTAAAAAAACTCATCTTACCAAACAAGACTTATTTGAATACTACAAGCTTATAAGTTAATCAAATAAGTTATAAGCTAGCTTATTTAACTACCAGATATAGCCTAAGTGGTAGGTCTGATAAATTTATATGTTATATGCTTTGATAAACCAACTAATATATAGCTCTTAAATTAATTTCTAGCTTACAGTTTATTGGAAAGGTTTTATATGCCCATAGTAGCTTGTTAAGTTCTAGCCACTTGTGTCAGGTATGCACGTTGTGTTTGGTAGGACGAGTTTTTCTCAAAAAATTCGAGCTTATTTTATAAGCTCCTTAGGTAACTTTTCAAATAACCAACTGAATTTTATTATTTAAGTCAGCTCCTCAGCTGATTTTACCAAACACATTTATATAAACTATTTTTTCTGCCATAAGTCTTAAGTTATTAGTTATAAACTCGAAATTCACTTAAAACTATAAGCTAGATTAGTTATCAGCTAATTTTACATAACATAGACTTAGACGGAATATTAATATGTGTTCACCGTTGACAAGAGAGCGAGACTGAATTGGTGATAGAGTGATAGACTAAAATGACATAATAAAATTGTTTTGGTAAAATTAAAAATATATTATTTTGAAATGCCAAACACGTGAGATAAAACTTATAAACTAATTAAATTGTTAATAAATTTATATTGATAAACACACACATAAATTTGAGGATACATATATACTTGACATTTTTTTTAATAAAAAAAAAATGGTCTAATTTTAAATGTGCCATCTTTAAATTATTCTCAATTATTCTACAAATAAAGGAAGCTTTACCAATAACAAACTTACATATTTTTAAGACTCGAAACATCACTAGTCAACCTAAAAGTAACCAATACCTGAAAACTATTATCTGAATAATGTTTTCAGTTCAATAAAACAAATATTCCAGTCAAATCAATTATCAAATGCGCCGAAAATAAAACAAAAATCTTTTCCAATTCATTTATTTATATTTATTTATTTAATCTCCGACATAGAAAGTCCAAGAAAAGCTAAATGAAATAAAATAAAATAAAAAAACCAAGAGAGGACTAATAATAGTAATAGTAATAAAATTAAGGGAATTGTTACAGTTCCGTTACGGAACTATTCCGTCGAAGTCTGTAACTGTTAGATCATCATGTAACCGTCGGGAATAGTTGATCTAACGGTTACAAACTCCGACGAAATGATTCTGCTACTAGCATTTCCCCAAAATTAAAAGCAAAAATTTATTAATGAGAAAAAAAAAGACTTTACTGACCTTACTATCAATCCTCCTTCCGTGAAAGACGGACCCTTCAGGCTCCGACCCGTTGTAGTTTGGATCCGAGTGCACGTACACCGAGTACAGCCCACGGTGCCCCTTGAAAAACATCTCCCACAGTGGCGCCAGAACCACGGGCCCACGTGTCAGGAACATGAACGCCACCTTGGCCCGCCGTCCCGGCCGGAAGCCCGCCGCCTTCGGCGCCATCGACGCCCGCCACGTCAGCTCCCGGTCGGTCATCCCGTGCATCACCCCCGGCGGCTCCAGAAAGTCCGTCCACGTCACCGCGCCGCCTCCCGCCGCCGTTCGGTTCGGCTCCGACATCGGCGGCGGCGGCGGATGCTGGTCGGCGAGCGGCTGCGATGTGAAGATGGAGAACTGGCCGTTGGTGACGTGGAGGTTGAAGGAGAAGGTCTTGTAGTGGAAGCAGAGGACGATGCCTAGAGTTAGGCCGGAGACGAAGAGGAACGCGTGGGAGAGGAGGCCGATGAGGGGGTATGGGGCGGCGATCGGCTTTCCGGCGGCCGGGAGTGGGTGCTGGGTCTTCATGCCGGCGGAGGAGTGCGGTGGAGGTCTTTTTTTTTTTTTTTTTGTTAAGCCTTTTTCTTTTACGTGCTTCTGAGTGCCTTTAATAATTTTTGCCTCGATTGCCTATCACGTTTGGTGGAATATTGAAACTAATAGTAATTAATAGCTTTAGATTTTTATTTTGTATTAATATTTTAAATTTTTTTTTCAGTTGATCTTCCATTCAATGGAATCAATTTTCATACACGCTATATAGACTTATAGTGACAATAGGAAATTGGAGACATTTTAATTAGGAATATGAAAATAAAGAACATGCAAAAATCCAATTTTGGTCATATATAAGTTTGACCATTGTTCAGTGTTTTGGTACACCAGTTTTCCTCTCATAGAAAATAGTCTACTATGTTATAATTTTCGTCAATTTTAGTACAGTAATCCCAGAGACCTGATTACGTGATGACGTGAAAAATTGTGATCCTTCTATGTCAAAGTGATAGATTGTCCCATCATTTTTTTAAATAAAAATATACATTTATATTATAAAAGTATCATAGTTATTAATATATTAATTTTAAAATATGATGTTTCAATTGAGAAAATAATATTTTAGCATTATCCATAATGGTTTAGGTCTAATTTTGTTTAGTTGTCATAAAAATAGATTTCAATATTAAATGATGTGGAGAAATATAAGAAAAAATTGATCATATCCCAATGTTTATTTTTGAAATTGGCATAGAATGAAGAAGGACCTAAAATAAATATATGTGATTCTAATAAAAAAATAATTTTTAGGGGACGTTCGGTGGAGATTCATATCTCACTAGTACAAGACCCGTGTAGATATTGATTTAAAAAGTACTTACATCAAAATATTTGAAGATAAACAAAATAATTTTATTTTAATTTTTTGAATGTTGTTGCCATTATTTTTCGTGATGTATCAAATAAAAAAAGAAATAGTATGAATGGTTCGTTTTATACATGGTAGTATAAGCATATTGAAATGTGTGAATAAAATTATTTATGACAGTAACTAAATAATTCATTTCAACAGAATAAAAACAAAATATATAGCTAAATAAAATATATAGAATTCACTTTGTACTGTAAACTTAAATTTCATTTTGTATACAATTTCATTTTGTCCAACAAATGGATTTGACATACTCGAGAATTAAATTTCAAGTATACAATTCATTTTAATTAATAAACTTAAATTTCATTTTTATATACGTAAGAGAGATTATTTCATTTTGTATACTATTAACATTGATTAATATTGAATTTATGGTACTGAAAGAGAGATTTATAGGATATTGATTAATAACAAATTTGTGGGAGGCAATAAATTTATGGCAATGAAATATAGATTTATAAGGTAAGCTGAAATAATTATTTATGGTTGATTCTAAGTCGTGCGAGCCAACCACTTAAACTCAGAACGTTTTGAATTAATATATAGAAATTATTATTATTATTATTATTATTATTATTATTATTATTATTATTATTATTATTATTATTATTATTATTATTATTATTATTACTGCTGCTGCTATTATTATTACTACATTGATTGTATTTTAGGTTTTTAAAGTAGAAAATCAGATGTGGAGTGGGAGGATTATAAATATACTGTATTTGCAGTAAAACAAAATCAAATATAGGGAGAGGCTTAATAAATTAAAATCTGGCTGTAACACAAGAAGATTTTGCAAAGCATGGTTGACTAAATTACCATTCCCCACCATGGGTATATGAATAGTTTTAAGTGATATTGCAATTAAAATTGTACCATTCCCATAAATTCATATTTTAGGGGAAATATAATAGTATTAAACATATAACCTGTTAGAATATCACTTGTGAGTTGTCCCACATCGTTCATACATGGAAAATAGACACACCTTATAAGTCTAATGGGCTACTCCTCCTTCCACCAATTGGTTTTGGGATAGAACCTCACTTGGGCTTCATATGGGCTTTCCTTTTCCCCCAGTTTCTTACATGGTCTCAGAGCCCACTTTGTGCCTGGGTTAGAGACATTTACATGGTATCAGAGCCCACTTTGTGCCTGGGTTAGAGACATGATATCAGAGCCCGACCAACTTTGTGTCTGGGTTAGAGACATGATATCAGAGCCCACTTTGTGTCTGGGTTAGAGACATGATATCAGGACTCACAAGTGAGGGGGCGTGTTAGAATATCACTTGTGAGTTGTCCCACATTTTTCATACATGGAAAATAGACCCACCTTATAAGTCTAATGGGCTACTCCTCCTTCCACCAATTAGTTTTGGGATGGAATCCCACTTGGGCTTCATATGGGCTTTCCTTTTCCCCCAGTTTCTTACATAACCCACGAATGAATTAAATAGCCTACACTAAATTACTCATTAAATGCAACATTCTAATATATTTTTTAAGAAGAATTGTGATTTTCTTGTGGGTAGAGGCGATCATGGGCCGATCCGGCCCGTCGGCCCGGCACCAAACCGGTCCGAACCGACTCGGATTTTGGCGGTTATGTAAATCGGAACTGTGGTCATGTGGGTCTGTTCCGGTTCATTATTATTTTTATTTTCTTTGTCTCGACAGTCCGGGCCAGACCGGGCTGCGCCGCAAGTTGGAAGATGGGCAGCGGTACTGTTGTGTGAATATTTTTTTTTTAATGGGCTGGGCCGGCCGAAAACCGGCGGGTCAGTAACCCGGTGGTTCAGGGTCGGTTCATTAATGTATCGGCCTATAGAAATTGACGGGCCGATTACAGGCCATTAAATTGAGACCCGCTGACCCAGTGGGCCTGACCCGACCCGTGATTTGGCCACGTCTGCTTGTGGGGCATAAGAACTACTATTTGAGATCATTATATATAAAATTTCAATTTATTAAGCCTTCCTAAATTTCCTAGTACTCTTACTATTATTATCATTGACCTAATCTCTTGAGAGTGCCTAAAATGCGTCTTTGTTGTGCTTTACACAAGTCTAGCGATGTCTAATATAGCCTCGTGTATTGATAGTCAAATGTTGAAATATTGTTGGATTGTTGAGTCCCTAAAAGTCACGGTAAGATCTTAAATAGTATAGATTTGTCATTGGTTCTTTTATTGGATGGATTATGGGTGCGAAACTCATGAGCTTTCCACTTGAAATGAGTGGAAAAGTGATCAAACTATGGTTTGTTTGGAGTTTCAACAAGAATGCTAACGAATTGATGAGTTTGGTTCTTATAAATAAGCTAAAAGATTGAATAAAAAGATTAACCAAATAAACTTGTAAACCAGTCACATGAGACACAATTAAGGAACACAAAATTTTCAATTTGTTAGACTGTTAATTAATATTAGAATATCATTTGTGAGTTGTGCATATCCATTCTGTACAAAAAAATGGGCTTAGCTCACAAGCCTAATAGGCTACTCATCCTACAACCAATTGGTTTTGGGATGAAACCTCATTAAGGTGTACCTAGACTCACCTTCTTATGGTGCACTTACATGCATGGGACCGCACCCTCTCCCCCTTCTTACAAAGCAATATGGCCCCGAGCATGACAGATGTGACACTCCACTCTATGACAAGTGGCATAAGTGTGCCTATAGCTCTTGCAAATCCTATGTTTTTCAGAGATTGGCGGATGAGACTGATGTGACGGAGCAGAAGCAGAAGTAGGCACAACTAATGCAGACTTAAGTTGTGGTGTCTTGTCAAACTGAAGACGTGTCTCCTACAAACGATCATTTGAATAGCGGCATGAAGAGTAGGTAGTGGATGACAGTGCAAGAGAGAAGCACGAACAACTGTTTTGTATGTTTTTGTTGTTATTTTGTTTGTTTTAATGTTTTATTTGTATTCGTTTTATTTTATTTTAGGTATTTTCTCGAGTCATTTTTGCTCATTTTTGTGTTTATCTGTCGTTTTAGTGTCTTGTGCTTTTTATTTCTTTTTTATCCATTATTTTGTAGGATTTTGTATTCCGAAGTGTTGCCAGAAAATAACTGAAAATTGGCCAAAAAGTAATCGGGAAAAGTCCGCGGAGAATTCCCGGTCAATCCCCTCGACAACGTCCCGAGAACCGCGTCCTTCAGTGCCGCCAGCAGTTGCCGTTCGCGCCCGCGAATTTGGTTTCACCCAGCTCGCGAATTCAAGCTGTGCTCGCTAGTTCTCCAGTGCCCACGAATCCAATTTCGCCCAGCTAGCGAGTTTCCAGCTAGTGACCGCGAAAATCCATGCCTAGCTCGCGAATTTTCCTCTTGCCCGCGTGTCCCCCAGCACCTATGCACAAGAAAACACTCGTGACTTGGGCGAAAATTCATGTTTTGCTCGCGAGTTCTGATCATCAAATGTGTGTGTTTTAGTGTATGTTTGTGGTGTAACTACAAATAGATTTGTTGCTTTGTATTTTTTGCAGGCGAGCTGACAGCTTCTTCACATCACACTCGTGTGCTCGAGGACCAGCGTCCGCGGGCAAGTTCAGCAGCTCCTCTTCGGCATGGTTCGCGGGTTGGGATTGGCGGGCGAAAGCTGAATCGAGGGCTCGCGAATTTGAGTTTGGGCGGCCAACGGATAAATGCTAAAAATATCACTTGATGTTATCGCTATTGCCAACCGATCTCCTTCCATTAACTCTACAAAACACCGAAAAACGCAACGAAAAACAGAACACAATACTAAACACAAAAAATGACCATAAAGAACGTAATGGACCGACACGACACAAATAAGAGCCAAAAACGACTCGACTCACCACAAAAATCACATAAAAATAAGCAGAAAAGTACGACAAACAATCATAACCATTGGTATATTGGATCCAATGATACAAATTTATTCTCATTTCTTTCACTATCTATCATTCTTATATGATTCCAACTCTATACACACACATACACACACACACACACACATATATATATATATATAATAGTTTGTATTACCTGAAATAAAAACTAAAATCCCACCTAAAATTTTTAAAATAACTAAACTTGATAATATTTATTTGAAATTTTATAAAAAAAACTTGCCAATAGAAATTAATTAATAAATTTATGATATAAAGTTGGAAAATTAATCAATCCGATTTTGATATAAAGTGGATGATTTTATTTGAGGTATATAGTGGTTTTTTTTTTTTGGGTATGAAATGTGTTATTTGGTATAAAGTGGGCACTTGTATAATAGACTGAACTGTATTTAAAAAATCTGAAAATAAAATAAGTGATATGAATTTTTTTCGGTATGGATATGAAAGTCAAATTTCAAGTTGATTTCTTTTAAACCAAGGTGGTATGATTCTCAAATTTTAGCATATTTCCATAATAACTTGTCATAAGGTATTGATGAAAATTCGAAAAATTGGTATCTATTCCTCTTGAAACTTAGAAAGATCTTTGAACGAATTTTGGTTAATAAAAATTTATTAGTTCTAAACAAATAAATTTGGACAATAAGATAACTGACGACAAATCTAAAAATTGCGAGATAAGATATTTATATATATATATATATATTATGGAATGAGTAAGAGAATTTATTGTGTAATCCAAATTTGGATTCCAAATTTAGAAGTCAAAGAAGTAATTTTTCATAGCTTACGGGTCAATTTTACCTTAGAAGTAAATGACTCAATTATTTACAGTTTATTAAATTACTCAACTACTTAGATTTTTTATTTGGATAGTTTATATAAAATAAATTCATTTTAATAAATGAAATAATATAGGTTTTATAATATACTTATTGTTCACATAGATTTTTAAATATATGATAAAATTTTACCAAAATAATATTTTATGGAATCACATTGTAGTCCAAATGAGTTTTTGAATAAAAATTTTAAAAAGACAACTATCTTGAAATGAATATAATGTAATTTATTATCAATTTGCACCGTACACGTTGTGTACTAATTTTAAATAGACACGTTTTATGTAATTTTGCACAATTTAAATTTCACATAACATTTTCAATAAATTAATATAGATAAATTGTATTACATATTGATTTTATATTTTTTAATTATCGATATTGTTTAAAAATTATTTTTAATTTATAAATATTAATATATATCTCTTACTTGTGCATCATACGGAATTTGTACTAATTTAACATTAAACCTGTTAATGCAAGTGTGAGCGTCCTGGCCCGGTTTAGAATAGATCGCCTTTGTCCTCGTCGGTAGAACGCCGGAAACCTGCATATAACTCTCACATCGAGGGTTTTTCCGGTGAAGAGCCTCCGATGCTTAAGTAAGTATGTGCATGAGTATATTTGAGTTGAATAATGGAAATCGTGTTTTGGAAGAAAGGCTCACCCTTCTTTATATAGGGGTGAGATACCTGACCTAAGAGCTGCCCTGATGTGGTGAGCTGGCTGTCCTGGCTGCCCGTCCGTACTCTGACACGCCGCGCGTATGTCAGAAGTGGTGCTGAGAGTTGTCAGATGTGGTTATCACTATCAACAAATGTATTCTCGCCACGTGTCCTCTGCACATGGGATGATAATTCCCTTGAATATTCTCATGAAATTCGGTTAGAGGCTCTTTCA